GTCACTTGTGCTGTGTGTTTCTAGGCAGCGTTCTTGCAATAACTTCAGAATGACTTGCTGTTCCCCTCAAGAGGAGCAGGCTTTCTGCTTCTGTAGAAACACCTGCAGGGCTACAACTTCAGCCTAAAAGAGCTCTTATCTGTTACTGTTTTTCAGCTGTTGATCATTGGGATTGTCCTGCTTTCTTTATAATCACTCTTAATATCTGAAAACATTCCGTATATCTCTATAGATATTCTGCTAATCCTTGAGCAGAAGGATAAATAGAAGGATAGCCTCCTGCTTGTTGTGTCTAATAAGATAAGTGCTCCGCTCCATCGCCAGTGTTCTTTGTCTTGGCTTAGAAAGTTAAAACAAGCGGGCTCTGAGAGGGCTGTGTCCATTCAGTCTTAGTCTGGAGGAAACCAAGGAAAAACTTGCTTCAGTTCCTTGGGTACAAATCTGTGTATGAACATGCCTGTTCTATAGTCGGACTCACAAATGTTGGCTTCAAATTGGCAATAAATGATACTTAAAACACATCACCTACTTGACTCTAAAATTGATTCTCATCTCTTATTAGATTATTACATTACTTTTTAATATATATATAAAAGATTACTTATATTACACCTTTGTCATTAAAAAGAAGCCTAAAACATGCCATATTCCTTTATTAGCAGCAATTCCAGAAAATCTTTCTTCTCTCACTGCTTGGCTCTTAATTTTAAAACAGCCTTTAAATATAATGTGCTAGAGAACTTAGGGAACTGGATTGTAATGTTTCTGTCCTGTGAGACTGTTAAGCAATGATGACAGCTAAATGTTCTTGGTACTTAGTACTTACTCTGGGAAAGTTCTTTCCTTTTGAGTAGTATTTCCCGTCACATTGTGTCATGAGACTATAACTTGAATTGTCCTTGAGACATGAGAGGTTTAGTGCAGTGAGCAGCTATCATTTCTGGTGCTATCCTCTTCCCGTCCCCCCAGCTCAGCTCAGTTTAACTAATATTTTTTTTTTTTTTTTTTACATACAGTGGGATACAGTAAGGATTGTGAGAGTGGAACAGTATTTAAATCAAAAGTTGAGGATCTTGGTGATACAGTTTTGACTCCTGGCCTTGCAGCAGACTTAATTTTGAGTAGGTCACTTATTTCTTACCTAAATAAAGAAGCTGTTTTGGAATTAAGTTAGAGCTATTCCAGAATAATTCCATGTTGAAGTACACCCTTTCTATCTTTTCTGGATCCTGGTAAGCACCTGGGAGCTTGGAATTGGCAGTGAAGAGACTTGTATAATAAGCATCTTCAGTTAAATGCTTCAGTCTTCGGTCACCAGTTAGTGTGACCTTGATTGTTGTGAGGCTATATCACTCTGTAGTTTGTCTTAACTTCACTTTTCCTTCTGCTTGCATGGATGCTACATGCATGTCCGCTGTCCTATGACTCTTGCAGGTTGTTTCTACTTGTATAGCAGAGCTGAACTCTTTAAAAGTCCTCAAAAAACCTGCCTCTAAGTTTCATCATTTGAAATGGCATTTGTTGTGTATCCCTACTGTTCGGGGGATCCTGTGCTGAGCTTGGCAGTATCGTTTGTCTAATTGCTGCTTCGTTTTACTTGTATCTTCATGTTTGTTTGTTCTTTGCTATTTTTTCCCCATTCTTTTTTTTTTTTTTTTTTTTGCTGTGCCATGTTTTACTGTTTAAAAACTTAGCAAATGTACTTCTTACAGAAAGTTGGAAAGCTCCTCTGTTAAAGCTGTCAGCTGGACTCCCACTTCTGTGTGTGGGTAGTGGATTCCCTCCTCTCTGAGATGCTCAATTGCCATCTTTGTGTTTGCCTGAGGGACGTGGCTGAGGAGGAGAGTCAGACTAACAGGAATAATGTAGAGAGGATTTTCATCTTGTTTTACTTCATGTCACTGACAGGAAGAAATTAAGCCTACTTATTTGGCAGCTTGTGCGTCTAAGAGATTTCCAGCATCTATCTTAACTGACATTTATTTTCTTTGATTTGGGAACCTGTAGCTGATCCTTCTGCAGTAGTTTTAAAAGCTGTGCTACTTAGCAACTGCTGTTAGGGCAGTGAAAGCATGGCTGGCCGCTGCCTTGGGCTCTGTTTCCAACTCTCTGAATTCTGTCTGGGAGGGAAATGATCTTGGGTGGCTGAAAGCTATTACGGGAGTCTGAGTCCTTGCAAACGAGAGAAAATCTGGAGACTGTGAAAGGAAAGAAAAATTAAGTTGGAAGTGATCTCTGGACGTCATCTAGCCTAATCTCCTGTTTGAAGCTGGGTGAGCTTGGAGGTTAGGTTAGGCTGCACGTGGGCTTGTCCTGTTTAGTTTTGAAATTCTTCCAAGAATGGGAAATCTAGTTTCTCTGGGCAACCTCTTCTAGTGCCTAACTGCTGTCACTGTGAGAAACTTTTTCTTTGTACCTACTTAGAACTTCCCTTGTTGCAATTTGTGACCATTGCCACTCACTCACTCACTCTGCTGTATGCCCTGTGAAGGAGGGAATAGGGTTGCAACTGCATTCAGAATCAGCCCAGTATTGGAGCAGAATGTAAGGTAGAGAAGAGGAAAAACTGTCCAATGCATGCTACTCAAACAGCCTTTAAGGCATCATTCTGTCACACGAGGTGGAAGACTGTCACCAAGAGCCGTAGGTGGAGAGGAGACATAGTTTTCATCACCTTTTTGGTGTTGTTTTGTTTTGTTTGTGTTTTAGAAAAGTTTCATATTGATAATAGTAAAAAGTAAACTTTCTGATGCTTTCCTTGTGTTTCACTGAGTGCAGTAAACAAATAGCTCAATGAATTCTGAGTACTGATAATGTTAGCAAATATTTATCGTGTAGTAGAACTGTTTGTCCTTTGTAATTGATTCACAGATGTATTGGCTTGAGTGCTGAATGAGCAAGAGGCACTTGGCTTTCTGCAGAGCAAAATATGAATTGAGCAGTGTTTTTAATAGGAGTGCAGGTACACATCAGTGTCCTTGAGCATGTGGATACAGCTTCTTTTAAGTAAAGAGTGAAATTTGCCAGCAAGAAAACTTGCTTCCAGGTGTGACCCATTAATTTACAGCAATTACTCAATTGGAGCTCTTGTTTAATGAGACTGACATTAGTCACAGAAGAGGGAGGTACAGCTATATAGATGTTGCCACGATCCCTGGTTTATGCTGAAAACTAGGTAAGTGTTACAGGCTGGCTGGAGGGTTGTATATTTGTTCATTGTGTTTAGGGCTGGAGTTTTGCAAATGGATTAAACCTGTGCTGCTACCAGAAACAGCAATCTTGCCTGCCTTTGCTGTCTTTGGCTGCCAGTTCCTGCCTCCAAATCGCCCTCTTGTACTGGCATGGATGTTACATGGCTATGTAGTGAACTGTATCAGAACTGAATCAGGGTGAAACGAGCGTTTGGGGGGGATTTTTTTTGTTAGTTATGTTTGAAATAGTCTGATTTAGCTTGTTGCCTGGCTGCCTGCGGAGGGGATGAGCAAGCAAGGAGGAGGTGAGGAATGCTGGTGTGGACAGCAGGGCTAGTTTAGAGCATTGGTGAGACTGAGGCGCCTGACTTGACTGGGGAAAAAGCAGGACTCCAGGCTTCCCTCTCCAAATTTTTACTTCACAACTTACTTTCTGCCGGTGAATGTGTCAGAATGTTTCAGCCCTTCAATTTTGGTCATGCAGATTTCAGATGATTTACAAGAGTTGGAGCTTGTGCTGCTTTTCTAGGCTCATATGAGTTTCCTGTTGTTCCTGTTCATGCCAGTGAAACTGTGCTTGTCCTGTCCAAGAGGCAAGCTGACTCTGTCCACAGTCATTAAATCTAAACTCGAGTACTGCTCTTTCTGTAGTGCTAGAGGTGGAAAGGAAAGGAGGGACCTGCTTCCTGACCCTTCAGGTGCAATATGAGAAGAGATCCTGCACTCTGGAGTCAAAGGAATGTTTCCTGTTAATACTTCCACTTCTGGGTGGGATGATTTTTTCTTTGGGTGTGACTTTTGCGCTTTCCTGATTTTGTTTATGCCTTGTGTGAATGGCACACCTGGTTTTATGTTGTTCACTACCAATACTGTCAACTCAATCAAAGCATATTGCTTTCTTCCCTAAACAGGCTGAGCCACTTTGTAGCTGGACTTGCTTTGTGATGTTTCTTTTTTTTTTTCCTTTTTTTTTCCTTCATTAGTTGTCTTGCCATTGGAAGAGTTGTAAAACAGTTTCTGTTAGTATATGCGGTTGTTTTAATTTTTCTGAGCAGATACAATACATGAGAGTTTAAGCTTTCATGTTTGGAAAAAAGTAAATCTTGTGATTTCCAAGACAGCATAATTACTTTTAAAGTATGCAGTAGCGAGGAAATCCTAGTCTGTTAAAAGGATTCAGGATCTTGAAAGGCTGAGAGCTTGGCAGCTGTTTGTGGGAGAAAGTGCTGCCTGTAATCCTGCTATGGCCTTATCCAGGGACTATGAACCAGCTGACAGAGAAACCTTTTGTATCAGGTATGGAGGCTGGCTTCATGATGGTGGCAGCTGAAGAGCAGGAGCATGCAAGTAACTTACTCTGTGGACTGGTTGTATAGGGGGTTTTTTCATTTAGACCCGTTCCACTGGCATCTTTTTGACTGATCAAAGGAAACTTTTTTTTTTTCATTGGGTGTATGAACTTGATAATATGTATTTTAACTTGGTATTATGGTTTTTTTCAGTCTTTGGTCTTGGGTTTTTTGGTACTTTTTGTGAAGCAGCTCTATCTGCCGTGTGTCTTAGATGTCAAAAAGATGAAGAGTGCTTGTGAAGACCCTGTCTCCAAGCTATTCTTTCTTCTCTTACCACACAAGACAAAAGTATAAGAAAGTCTGCAGAAGGGTATCAGTCCTCTGTGAGAGCTGCTCAAGCTTATCAAGATTCTCCTTCCTCAAGAACTAGTGGCAGCCCCAAAAGAATAAGCTGTCTCTTTTGAAGGTAGATTTAGCTCTCTGGTGAATAGGGATGTTTTACCTACTTTGTTTCTTTCATAGGTACGTGGTGAGGTGACAGCTATTGAACTATGGCATTCAATAAGATTTGGTATACCGTAGCCCTTGGACTTCTGCTGCCTTTTTCTTACGCCCATACGGACTTCTTCACTTCCATTGGTGAGACATGCTTTGATGTATATGCTGCATAGCTGAAAGAATTTCTTGACGGCTCTCAAAACTGATTCTTCAATGTTGTGTCAATGGCACAATGCAGAACTAAATGCACTTACAAGTTCTTATGATCTTATTGACTTCTTTCTTTTGCGAGAAGCAGGCTTTGAGTTAAGTCAGTCCAGTTAGTCTAATGAACCAGGCTAGGCTTTGTATTCGTTATGTATTCTTACAGGTATTGACTTTTAAACAAAATTTTGGTGTGGACTGTTGCACATATGTAGAAGCAAGGAAAAGAGCTGCTGAGGGTACATGATGATACCAGTATGTCAGTGTACTCTTTTTGGGTTCTGATGGCCTGTGACACAGCTGAAGATGTGGACTGTATCACTTCATGATGAACCAGTTCAGCTGCCTCCTTGCAGGAAATGAAGCAATTATTAATTAATAACAGAGTCTGTTAGGAGACCCATTGAAGTCATTCAAGTAATCTTAAAAATAAAACGCTGGATTAGTGTTGTATTATCAAACATGAAGTCTTTGTATATTTCTGTAGCTTTGTCTTTATTTGCTCTACGTTATATATGCCTGGATGAAAGATTACTCTGTTGCAATCTACTTCCTTTTCCAAATGAATCCTAAATTAGTTCTAATAATAAATATGTGATATTACGTTAACTTCCATGGCAACAAGCTTGGTCCAACATGAGGTTTTCTCCGTCAAAAAAAAAAAAAGGCAAGAAGCCTTACTCAAATACTCCTTCAGGATTATTTAAGCAAATGCAGAAGGACTTTGGGGAAGAAAGTAGAAGAGCGGAAGAACGCCTCTAATTCTCAGTTCTCAGTTTTTTTGTTTCTCCTTGTCTAACTAAACTCATTTGTTTTCTAGGTCATATGACAGACTTAATTAATACAGAAAAAGATCTGGTGGTGTCACTGAAAGATTACATCAAGGCAGAAGAAAGCAAGCTGGAGCAGATCAAAAAGTAAGCAGCTTGCTTCATAATGCTGATAGTTAATAATTTGAGTCCACCCTTATGTAAACAGCGCTTCCCAAGGCTGATTAAATTTGTGGAATTTTTCCTCTGAGGCAAAGCTTAAACTAGCAGTTTTTGCTGGGTTTTTGTCCTAAGTTATTATCTCCGAGCCATTGGTTTGTTTTATGCAGCTTTCTAATGATGAAATCTAATCAACCCACTTTCTGTACGATACCTTCGCTTCAGGAATTCTGCTTGCATGTAATTCCCAAGGGGATGTAGTTCTTTGAATGACAATCTGCTTAGTGGAAACTAAAACCCAAGAAGTCTCCAAATGAGTGTTACAAGGACTGCAATGTAAAAGCTCTAAAAAGTGTTGGTGTGGCCATATTGCTTATGGGTGGCTAACCAATGAATAGTAATAACCCATTACAAGAGGAGAGTCTCTTTCTACATGCTATATTTAGATTTAAAAGTAAAATAAAGCAAAATAAACCTTCTTTACAGCTTTTAAAAATAACAAGAGACCTGACCATTGCCATTACTATGTTGCTCGGCTCTACAGGTGTGAGGACCAGAGCCCAATATGTCAGATTTTATCACAGCTAGAAATAAAAATTTTGTATCGCTGAACAGGATGGTTTCCTGGCTTTCAGAAATGTGTATAAATCTGTCATGGGGATGTTTAAACAGTTTTAGATAGATGCATGAATTTTATTTTAGCCTTTGTGTATTACGTTCTACCATCCAGAAAGAAAGATACTTCTGTCGGACTGCATTTATTTTTATCACTTAAAATACAGAGTTGGAATTGCTCATAGGTTTGGAATAAGTATATTCTTTACAGCAACAAATTAAGATGGGAGCATGCCGATTGGACATCCAAAAGTGTGTAAATACAGCTTATCATATAAGCATTGCAGCTCTGTTTTTATTATATTGGAGGTGCTCACTGTCAGGTCAGAAAAGTTAAAATAACTGTCACAGAGAGATAGAAGAACCTGGAAAAAATGCCAGCATCGTTTGAGTTTGTTGGGCTCTGTACTTTGGTTGAAGGATGTTGGTAGCTTATGTTGACTTAAACTCAGTGAGAGTTGGTAATTCACTGAAATGCAGAGGATGGCTCACACCTTGTGGGTGGCTTGTGGTGGAAGCTTTTATGAAACAGAAACTACTTGAAAGAAATCCTGGCCTTGTGGTTGTGGCTCACAGTTGCAGTGACTTTCAGCTACTCATTAAGTTTGATAGTCATGCAATGGGAAACGTACGATGGATTTAACTATGTGCAATGTGAATGCACAGTTTGTTGAAATTGGTTTCTTCAGTCTTCGGCTTGCTAGAAGGAGTTGGCTCATGGGAGCACTTTGAGCACTCCAGCTTGGAGGGAACCCCTTCGCTCACATTGCCGCTGGCAAGAACCCAGACAGGGGCTGTCAGAGCGTAGGAAAACAACTAAAGACAGTGTGGGAAGAGTGAATGCAAACAGTGGCACCTTTAACAGTTGTAAACATCTACCTGTCTCGGGTAAAGCAGGCAAACTTAATTCAGGCATGCCAAATTCTGGAACAAGCTGAATGCCGGCTCGTGTACGGAGTTCCCTCCAGGTTACAGATTTTGTATTTGCTTTATATTGGTGTTGATGTTTGGTATTCTCTGTGGGGTGTGGCTTTTTTTAATGTTAATTTATCCTGTTTTCAGGGCATGGTTACATGTCTTCACGTTTTAGATCTGCATTGTTTCGGATAGAGAAGGGAAGTTTGGTTGTTTTGCAGACATGTAGTAGCATAGCACTGGTGCTTACAGCACGACTGATGTGCTTGCTGACTTGAGACTGGAACAGACTCCCTGGATGTTTCCATTAAAACGATAGATGAACAGCAGTAGTTGTTGAAAGGTGTGCTTGTTTCAGAGTGCATTGGAGTTGTGAATGGCTTATGTCACTGACAGTGTTAGAGAGGTTTGTGGAATCAGAACTGTAGCACCAGAACGTTGATCTGGGCTCCTCATTTGGGAGTGTGAGCGCTACGTGTTTCTTAATACAAGCTTACAGTATAGAAGGCAGTTCTGTGGTGGGAGGCCAAGGGACTTATCGTAGATTTAAGAGTGTGTGTCTAAATGTAAAATAATTTGAGACAAGTGATCTGTATTTGAACTACCTTATTGTAAACTTTAGAAAAAAGAGCATTTAAAAATAAAAGATCAAAAATGTGGGTAAAGCTTTGTTTTTGATTAGTCCTGCATGAAAACTCATAATGGAACTGCTGGCATACTGCATTTGGTATTTGTAGGAAGGAGTTCGTTCAGCAGTGTTCCAACAAAGACCACAAAAGCAGCACAAGATTTAGACTACAGCTGAGGAAGATTAAAAAAAAAAAAAAAAAAAAAAAAAGAAAAAAGCCCCTTTTGTTCCTTCTGGGAGAGCTTTGTATATAGATAATGTAAAAGCTTGCAATTTGTATTGGGTTTTTTATTAGCGAAGACTGTTGAGTAACTTGAAATCAGTTTTACAGTGCATTGGCAGACTTTTACAAGAGACTTTAATGAATGTATGTTTTCACTATAGATGGGCAGAGAAATTGGATCAGCTGACAGATACTGCTACGAAAGACCCAGAGGGGTTTTTGGGACATCCTGTAAATGCATTCAAGTTGATGAAACGGCTTAACACAGAGTGGGGTGAGCTGGAGAGCCTGGTTCTGAAGGACATGTCAGATGGTAAGTGTGCCTGTAGTAAGAACAAGGATCACATTATAATTGCATTTATTTGACTATGTCTTTCACATGTCATGGTTTGAATTAGATTTGTAAGTCTGCTTTTGAGGTGCCTTCATAAAAAACAATCCTAGAAGACCTGCCATTTTGCTGTCAGTGTGCTATAATTTGAGCTTTGCAAAAATTTAGGAAATCTGTGATGTTTAAACTGAGTAATCTCCTTGGATGCTTTAAATTTTGCAAGGAATCAGGGCTCGCTTCATGTATGCTCCCACTTCTTGCAAACTAGTATTTTAGGAAATTTCATCTCTAAGAGTGATGACTGTTGAACAGAAAAAAGGGGACGAAACTCAGTTCTGAGCGCAAGACATGGGACTCTCTTTGAGTATGGTCAAGTGTCGTTGCTGCTGATATGCCCAGAGTTGTTAAGGTGTGATGGTTCGAAACTGAGCGTTTGTGGAACTGATCTGAATTAGTGTAGTAAACACTTCGCTGCCTCTTTTCTTCAGCAAGAGTAGAAGCTCTTCAGTAGGGAACAGGACATAAAATAGTTGACTGTGCAAGACACTTAGCAGTAAGGAAGCTGGGATGATTATATTTGACCTGTGAGAATCTGGCTCAACAACTAGCTAATACCAGGTGTAGGTTTGTAGTAAGAAATGATAAAAAAGTGGAGCTTTCAAAAAAGACCCAGGGTAGTCTCTGATAAGGATTCAGTACGTTCAGCTTCCCTGTTGCTGCTGTGAGGGACTGAATATGCCAACTGAAAAGGCTCTGCACCTGCCAGCCAGAAACCTGGACCAGTGCATCTTAAGCCCTTCTTCTGAAACGGCGGGGAGGAAGTGGACTGTTTTGTTTTAAGAAAATTGTCGGCAAAAAAGAAAATACTGGGGGAAGCATAGTGTAGTAAAAGGAAGGGTGCACAAGAGTGAAAGGATACGGTATTCTTTTAAAGCAGGAACACCTTTCCATAAACTAATAATGTTATCAGGTCTGAACAGTTAAAAAGGACTACTAGAGTGTGGCAAAAATAACAAATTTGGCCAGTTCATTATTTTTTGGATGGTTTTGCAGCTGAGTGTTGTATAATACGCTTTGTCTGGTTTTGGTCATGCTGCTTAGTTTTCTACTGGTGGATAGTAGATGAACTTAAGAAACATGATATTGGCACTGTCCTTAGTTAACACTGTAAAGCTTGTTGTGCTTCTGGATCTTGGGACAACAGAGTTTGTTGAGTAGAAAAGTTACTTTTCTGAAAATGCCAGAGTGGCTGTCAGTTTGTTCAAACTGAGGTCCTCATGTCAGACTTCATTGATGCCATTCCTTTTGGTGGCTGCGTGTACCAGGATGCTGGTTCTGCCCTCTTTGGCTGCCCTCCTGGCTTTCTGGAGTCCTGTTTCCCTCATCAGTGCAAACAGCCCACCAGCCTCTTGACTGTGCAGAAGCAGAAGGGGAAGAATAGCGTCAGTTCTCCCACTGAAGAGAGGATAATGCACTAGCTCTACAGGAGGGCCCCCTCAAGTAACAGCAATAGCAGTGATTGTGTGTGTTTTCACCAGAGAGGAGTAGGAACCTTTCTTAACAGGGGAGATGATTACATGTGACTCTAATGACCAGGGAATGACCTAGAAGGAATATTTTTTTACTTTATAGAACCTGCTTGTCTTCTGTTCCATAAATGTCACCCTGATGCTTCTTTCAAAAGCCCCCAAGCCCCCAAGTTTTTCTTTTTGATTTTTCCTTTGCTTTCTTTTCACAAAAAAAAAAAAAAAAAAAAAATCGAAATGCTAACTTTTCAACATGCACCTTGAGTCCAATTCAGAGTTGTGGGAAGATGGATCTTGAGAAACCGTTTTAACTTTGTGTGTTTCTCAAGTTTCTATGTAAATAAGTTAATGCCCAAGTCCACAGAAAGCAGTTAGGTTCATAGTGGCTGCTTAGTTGCCTAAAGTCTTGTCAAAAGCTGTTTGCAGTTAGACATCAGCATTTTTGTTTTTCATCTTTTTATTGACCAGCCTTAATCTTTACACTGCTATTCTTAGCACTGTTTGGTTTTTTCCTCTTCTAAATTATTTGTAGATTCCACGTTACTAAATAAAAAGCCTTTTGGAAGGCAGATTGAGTGGAATGGTTGCAAAAACTCCCAATATATTATCTGTAATGTTCTCCATGTGGGGGTGGTCTTTTTGTTTTATGTAACTTTTTTTTTTTAACCTGTTAGGACAAAAATAGCTTCTGCGTGAAACCGAAGGGGTACTCCTGTCCTTTAGAAACAAACTTAGGGCGTTTGTTTGTGCTTTGCAGGGCTAATAGCTCTTCCTGACTTACTAATGGCCTTTCCTGAAATGTTAGCTTTCCCCAGAGTAGGGAGTCATTTCATGCATAGAGTTTACAGAATTCTTGGGACAAAGAAGGCCAAGTGTTTCACTGTCTTTCCCAGGCTTTATCTCCAACATGACTATCCAGCGGCAGTTTTTCCCAAATGATGAAGATCAGACTGGTGCAGCAAAAGCCCTCTTGCGGCTTCAAGACACGTATAATTTGGACACGGACACCCTCTCAAGAGGGAATCTTCCAGGTAAGAGTCATTGATGTTATTTTCAGAAGACACTGTGAACTTTTACTAAATGTCCTGATTACAAATCATTTGACTCTGTTCTATCTTGTTTAACTGCGTAGTGCGAAGGTAACAATAGCAAAACATTTGAGCTAGCTAAGAATTTATGAAAAGTGGCGTGATGTGGGTTGTTGAATATAGGTTGACATAGGTGTCAGTTTTATTTTGCCACACCTCGAGAGAGAGGAACCTGTTGCTTCAGGCTGTGCTGGTGAAGAGGAACGCAGGAAGAGCTGACCCGCTCTGGCATACTGTCGGGTCTGTTGCTGTGGTGGTTCTGTTGGAAACTACATCCGCTTGGCTTCCCTGTCTGGTGGGCTTTCTTCTGCCAGCACACTGCCCAAGTGCATGTGGATAAAACGCACTGCACAGAAGGCAAGTTTCTGTCTGAATTGAGACTCTCCTTTGTCCTATCATTCTCCTCACTCTACTCACATGCTCGTTTTCAGCTTGTGCTAGAACTTGAAAATTTCTTTTTAGTTGAAGTCTGCATCTTTCTTCTAGTTATGGTAAAATAATTTAGTAATAATAGTTTTAAATAAAAAATCAATAGCAATAAAATCTTGCCTGGGTGAGGATTTTCCTTGTGTTGAAGTAGTTCTGCACTGGCAGATACCTAGTTTTATTGCACAATGTAGTGCATTTTAACAAAACAGTTCTATCATTTATTATCCCTTTCCCTCTCATGGATAAGATGGGAGTGACTTTCAGATTGGGAGTGACTGAAGTTTCTTTGAGCTTAAACTTCATGGAGTGTATAAACTGCAAAACAAAAGGCAGAGCGCATACACAGGCTTGAGTTTACGTGGCATTACCTGAGGTAATCTTCAATAGGTTTATATGCAGGAGAAGACACACTTCTTTCTTGTTAGAAGACTCTTTCTCTGCTGAGTTTTCCTTGTTTCGTCTGTTTGAAAATAGTACTGCTTCAACTGGCAAAAAATCAACCTGCGCCACAACTGGCAAAATCAACTCTGTACAATCCATCTGTGTTTTTGCAAGCACTCATTGTGGTCAGATGCCTAATAAAATGAGGGGTAATTGGCTTTATATGTTATGATGTACAACCTTGCTTTTGGGTTTAGTTCAAGACTGTCTCAAAGACCTACAGATTCATTCTAATACAATAAGCAGTTCATTACTGTTTTTTTAAAACAGCACAAAAACACAAGACAAAGTGCTTCGGGTGAACTGTAGTGTATTGCTTCTTTTGAAGCAATAAGCTGTCCAGACTGTGTGTAATGAAGTGTAAGTGCAGAACCTCCAAGTTCTAGAGTATAAAAGAGAATAGGTTGGTCTCTTCAGAGCTCCAGAGAGGAACATCCCATGTGGTCACTTGTTTGTGCTCCTTGTCTTCCTTCCCAGGGAATTTCTGTTTGGCCAGGTCGCCAAGTTTTGATCAGAGTCTTAACTACTGTCATATTGCTTATTAATTCTCTTTCCTGCATTACAGGCCGTGCTGTTTCTTTATATTAACTATCAACCCTATTTGATGATTGCTGTCTTAAGCACCCTTTTAAGAGTTGCCTTTTCATGTGTGGATGTTATGTTGCTTCTAAATGTACCAGGGTATGGCCCTGCAACCTGTTACTCATTCCAGAGCGTATCTCTCTGTGAGAGCACTCCACCACCACTGCACCCGATTCCCTAATCTTTGTGTTATTTTAGAGTTTGAAGCTTCAGGCTCAGAAAACTGAAATCACTGGCCATCACAGGATGGACCACAAGGTGTTTAATTAGTGAGCAGAAACAAAGCTGTTCTGTGGGATACTGCATTACATGGATTGTTTCTTCAGCTATTTAATCTCTTTAAGGCATGTCTTCAACAGAAGAATTCCCCTGTTTGAACGCAGCTGTGGGAGCTGCTATTAGAAATTCAGGATTTATTAAGATGTAATCAGGAATGTAATTTTAGCTGTAAAACTGGCAGGCCCTGTTTCCTTTTTACAAGATTAAATTTGGTTTTTCATTGGGCCTTAATTTACAGTGGCAAAAATAGGAATCTGTAATTTGCTTACTAGTGCTTTAATCTTTCAGAGGTCTCTTCAAATGTTTCTAAAAATGACTGACTTTAAAAATCTTGAGCAGCTGGGAATTTACTGACTGATGTTTTCCTTTTTCTTCCCCCACTAAGTTGTCGCTAACAAGATGTGCTTCAGTAACGTTTTGAAAGCAATAATCCTGCAATGTCTTTGAAAACAGATTTCTGAAACTTTGTATTTGGCTTACTATTGCTCTTGCTCTTGCGGTTTTGATGAAGGAAGGTTTATTTTAGTTTTTTCCACTAATGGTAAAGACGTTTAGCTAGTTGCTGGTATTCTGGCAATGGAAAACTGCATCTAACCGCTTATGTGTTCTGCCAAGGATTTACAGGCTTTAGATACTTAAACTGAGTCTTCAACAAATAGCCACCACAGAAGAGAGATGCTGAAGAAAAGAAATAAACTGTGCTGTGAAGAATAAGAAATAACTGAATGTTACTCTGAAGACTGATCTGGAATTCTGTGTAAATTCTGTTTGGTTTGGTTTAAATACAGGTGTGAAGCACAAATCCTTTTTAACAGCTGAAGATTGCTTTGAGCTGGGAAAGATTGCCTACACTGAAGCCGACTACTACCACACCGAGCTCTGGATGGAACAAGCTCTTAAACAGTTGGATGAGGGAGAGGTGTCTTCTGCAGATAAGGTCTACATTCTGGACTACCTGAGTTATGCTGTGTATCAGCAGGGGGACCTGGGCAAAGCCATGATGCTCACCAAACGCCTTCTGGAGCTGGGTATGTGAAAGAGAGATCTGCAGCTCGCCGCGATCTAGCTCTGTGTTCAAGCAGGTGCTAGCTATGGATTTGTACTGAGGAGTGCGGTCTTACCTGTATTCTGACTTGTATATGGGTTTTTAAAATGGATTATTATTGATACTACCATTAACATCTTGCTGTGTAGTTTTCAGTAAAATAAGACTTGTATTACTATAAATCATATTTTGCTACTGTATTTTTAGAGGGACAACTATAGTCTAAACTACCACGTCAGAAAGTGTCGTGGTTAAGGATTGCTATATTCTATTGAAGTATTTTCTGCTTCCTGTCACTGTTGGCTTCTAACCACTTACCCATCTTAGTCATTACTGTCTGAAATTTGGTTCTTTTACTATATGTTTCTTTCCTGTGTTGAGATTACTTCCCCTTAGGTACAGGCAAGAACAAAATTAATGAAATTGAAACTAAATTGGTGATACCAAAATCTCTGCAAATTATTTAAAAGCAAATCAAGCATACTTGAGATGAAAAACTTGGAAAAATAAGGGATATAGAATGCAATACAGCAAGCTAAGATTCGGTCCGCTTTTATGAAATATAAAGAGTATTTATGCTTCTGTAAATTTTCCACTGATTGACTGTGTAAAGGATGCCATGGGAAGTTCAGAACTAAACCTGATACAGCAAAGGCTAGTGAGAACCATGTATTAATGAACTGAAGCAAATTCTGTAAGTTTAGTGATTGTTAAAAGCTTTGTCACCAGAAATCTTAATTCCTATCAGGGAAGTGTTTAGGTTTAAAGCAAGTCATGCTGTCCCAGCTCTCTCCCTGTCCCATTCCCTTGTCTCTCCCTGTCTGGTGAGATTGGCTGGAATGGCCAAATGCTTTTTCTTAGTGTTTGGACCCCTGTGCCTATTGAGGATCCTGGTCTCACAGTAGGCAGTTTCTTAACTGTGAATGAGTTGAGCTTTTAGCTCTGGAAGCTCATTGTGTGTTTTCTTGCAGATGAGTAAGGATATGTGCATGCTGCAGGCTAGCATTGCTTCCAGCTTAGCTCGGAGTTTTAGCTGTCCTGTGAATGCTCTCAAACCAGAGTAGATGTTTCTAATTTCTATTTGAGAAGCAGTAGTGTGCATCTGTTTTCTTTTTCTTTTTGTAAATAGCCTCTTCTGGAGACTTCTTCACAAGTTGGAAACTTGCCAGTGATGCTTGTCTGTTTCTTTGTCAATAGATCCTGAACATCAAAGAGCAAATGGGAACATGAAATATTTTGAATATATCATGGCTAAAGAAAAAGAAGCAAATAAGTCCAGTACGGATTCAGAAGACCAGATGGAGAAGGAAACTGAGGTTAAGAAAAAGGATTACCTGCCCGAGAGAAGGAAGTACGAAATGCTGTGCCGTGGGGAGGGTCTCAAAATGGTAAAGTGGAGTAGACTGTTTTCAAATCTATGAAACAAACCATAACAAAACAATGTCAAGAGTTTGTATGTGGTGTGAAAGCAAGGAAGTTGTTATAGCAGTTGGCTGAGTGTGTAGAACTGAGGATTAGTGTGTGTTGGATTTCTTCCCTGTTTCATTCTGTCCAGTAGACAAAAAGTAATACCGCTGCAGGCACTGCTGACTAACTTGGATGCACTACATAATTGTAATTAATTGAATAAGGATGCTGGAAGTCTAGGTTTACATATGGAACTGAATGAGGGTGGGTTTTTAGTGATAATTTTTTTTTTAATAGGACTGTGTAAAGTACTGCTTGTTGCAGTATTTCAGAGTAACATTAATGTGCTGAAAGTACTAATTTCTGAAAATTAAAGCATCTCTAACTTGTAACATAACATTAAGGTAGGGAAAGTGAATTGTTCCTGTCTCTTGTTCTTAGGACATTTTCTGTTTCTTAGAGATATTAATGTCATGTGGAAGTTCTCTGATTATCTCTTGCTCCACCTTGCTTTCAGACTCCTCGGAGACAAAAAAGACTCTTCTGCCGCTACTACGACGGAAACAGGAATCCTAGATATATTCTGGGCCCTGTCAAACAGGAAGATGAGTGGGACAAACCTCGAATTGTTCGCTTCCTTGACATCATCTCCGATGAAGAGATCGAGACTGTGAAAGAACTAGCAAAGCCGAGGGTAAATGCCTTAATGCTTCTTTGCCTTTTGGAATCTTAAATTTCTGTGTGAGTATGTGTGACTCTTGTCTCCTTGAATGCAGATGTGTGTGCAGTGTGCTCACACGTTGCTTTTCTCACCTTGTATCTCTTGGTGACACACTCTTTGAAGGAGACAGCGGGGATGCTGGAAATTCTGTGTAATTAGGAGAGCCAGGTAACAGCAGTGCAGGATTGTCAGACTCTTCCAGCAGACACAATTCTGGTGCATGCTGTTTCAAATAAGGAGGAGAACGTTCTACAACAGAAAAACGTTCTGCAGCTAGGTTGCCTTGAAGTATACCTGTCATCTGGTTTTTGTTTGGTTTTTGGTTTTTCTTTTTAAAGTCTGTATTTGCCAAAGTTGTGACATGGAGAAGAGTGCCGTCTAGGGAAAGGCAGCCATTCCTCTGGTCCTGGAATGCCACCACGTTATTGTATAGACAAGAATGAATGGTTGTATTCTCCATTCAGTATAAAACTGACTTTTGTCTCGCAGGCTTTGAAGTTGCCTGCAGATGAAAGAGCTTTAAGAGGGCAGTACTTCATCAGTGGTACTCAGCTGCTTATTCACAATGCCAGCTCATCAAATCCTATTTCAGAAACTGGATCCTGAGGTTCTTGTTTCTGAATGCAGAATAATCCAGGGCAGCTCAACTGTCAGAGTAAACAGGAGTGCCCAAGACAAACAGCAATCTGATGGATTGCCTTCTGTATCCAGTTGGTGTGACTCTGCATCTCAAGATGTGGGTTGAAGATGAAGTTAGTTAAATTGATTTAATTTTTCCATCAATTACTAGTTACTTCTAAAATAAGATTTAAACTTGTAGAAACATAATTTTCCTGCTTTTTTTCCTTTGTTTTTAGCCTGAATGGCTTTTCATCCAGAGAGAGCTGAGCAAATAGAGATTAGGGAGATAAGTGCGTTAAGTATAGGACAAACTGTTGGCTTGGTCTGCTGCAGAGTAAACCAGCTGTGCTGGCTGGTTTACTCTGCTGTACATGGCTGTACATGGGCACATCGAGGATGAGGCTGTCCTTGGCCACTGCACTGAGTACTAGGTAGCCTGAAGGCGATTTTAAAGCTTCCTAAAGGCTGATGCATTGTATTTTTGAGGTAACGTTCTGAACTGTAAGCAAGAAAGCAATTCTCTTCACTTACCTGTAAAACAACTCTTCCTGTTCTCCTGTCAGACAGCCTTGCTGCAGGTCTGAAAGTCAGAGCCTGGGTTGTTTGTCTGTGGATGATTAAGCCCCTTTGTTGCTGCAAAAGCTCTGACATTACGTCTGTGGAGTATGACTGAATCACTTCTTTATGGAGTAGAAATAAGTCTCAGCACTGAAAATAAAAACCTGTGAACGTGGCGATTTTAACTGCTGAACTTGCTGAGATAATTGTTTTCCTATCAAATGTTTGGCTCGTGGTAAAGACTTGGAGATTCATAGTTCGTTAACGTAGAAGCATCTGTATGCGGTTAGTGTTCCACGTATTTCCTATGGCCAAGGCCTCGCAGAGCTCAGTAACGAGTGTAACAAGAGGATTGTGTCTTCTGAGACCAAAAGGTCATCTCCTTCTTCCCGATGCTTGGGATGTTACCATTGCCGCCTCTTGGAAGACAGCGCTGTCTGATCTGTGCCCAGCCTTCTGCTGTGCTGGCGGCATAAGCTGGCAGGATGAAGCCTTATTATTCAGCTTTGGGAGTCTCTCTGGAATCATAGTTTGTGCCTTGATTCTTATATGCGTCTGCATGGGATGAGAGAAGAGGCAGCATATTAAGAGCTTCCAGTACCTGTTCTTGTTAGTAGGCATGGCGAGGCCTTGATTTGCTTAGTTTATTTTATCTATAGAAAAATACTTCTTGTAATTGTTTGGGACTTGGTATGCCATTTTGTGCCTCTTCCGAAATTTGGGCTCTGCAACTCAACCTGTCCAGTTATGAAAGATGGAGAGTGTCTGATAGTACGTGAACAAAGTTAAAGGGCACACATAAGGTTCTGAATCAGAGTATTAACATAGATCAGATGGCGTCAAGTAAATGGAGTGCAATAGAGGGAAAGGAAGGCCTTGAACCAAGAGTTCTCACTCTGTAACTTAGGAATACAATGTAAATGTGTCCATGGACTAAGCAATTAGTTTGTGTTGGCAGTCAGTGTTAAAAGGAGTTCAGTGCTGCTTTTGGTATAGAAAGAATGAAAAAGGTAGGGTTTTATTTCATCTTTCACTTATACAAGATCACAATGTTGCCTGGATTCAATTTAGCTGTAAAACTCGTCTTACATGCCCAGGACAGAGTGCTAACAAAGGACCAATTGTACACATGCCATAATATTGTACCGCTTCCAGCAGTTGTTGCAATATGAAGGAAATGAAAGCTTCTAGTTTACTTTATTCAGACGACTGTTCTTCTTGCTAGAAGATGGAAACATTACTTCCTGGAAAACTTGATCTTCTCTAACGCTGTTTAAAAAAAACAAACCAAAAACCCCTAAAAAGCTCTCTTTTAGTAAAATTGGAGACTCCCCCTCCTTCCCCATCACTGCTTATGAATTTCCACCTCCTCCATAAAAGAGAAACCACCGCAAAAGGTGACTGGGTGGCTTGCGTGGCGGCTTGCGAGACATTTCCCCTTAGGCTTCTGAATGGTCGGATTGCTGTGATGCAGTATGTGCTTTGTAATGCAACTATTCTGATGGTTCGCTTCACAGCTGAGGCGAGCCACCATTTCAAACCCCATAACAGGAGCCTTGGAGACGGCACATTACAGAATTAGCAAAAGGTAAGAGAGCTCTATGCCAGATGTTTTGGGCCTGTAATGAGTGTGTACATTCTGCTCATTATGGGGAAAAAAGAGGTGGTCTAAAAAGACAACTTTGGCTTTGTAGTCCACCGCTTTGTTACATGCAGATCTGTAACAGGTTGTTACTGCTGAGTTTCTCAGTCTTTTCCTTCACCTAGAAGTTCCGGGGGCATATTTTGAGTTCTTAGTTTTCTTTTTTTGGTCACCTTCTCAGTGTGTGTTCTCAAATGATGATCTGTACAAGAAGCAGGTCTCTACAGTCAGTGTAAAAAAAAATACGTGATGCCACAAAACCTGCAGTAGAATCGAGATATATATATATTTTTTTCTTAATATATTCCCTTCCCCTTGCTCTTCTCACCAACCAAAAATTGTCCCCCCTTTCCTTGTAAAACCTAGCAGACCACTTAAAGTGCCTTTACATGTGTAAGAGATGCTTCAAGTCTTTACTGTGTGTGACAGCTGGAATGGCATGCAAAACACACGTTCGTCAGTCACACAGCATTTCATTGTTCGAGATAATCCCATACTCCTGCCTGGGCTCTTTTACCTCCTGCTGACACAAATCTGGCAGAACGTAAGCTCATTTTCAATGGGCTCCTGGTTCTTTCCAACTTGTCTATTAAGTACTACAAGTCTTGAATTTAGCCAATGTTTTCCAAAATTGGCTGGCTCTAAAAGAAACCACCTGCCCCACCCCTCACCCCGCCCCTGGTTTTGGTAGTGGTGATTAAGGATTGGCTGCGCATTCCATCAGTGTTAAGCCAAAATTCTGAAAGGAGTTAAACTTCTGGGTGAAGAGGAATTGTCTGTGAAACTCAGCATCATAAATTACTTGCAGAAAGTCTCTAGATTAAAACAAAAAGAAAACAAAAAAAAAGGAGGAAAAAAGTGAAAGGACAATCTAACCAAATTTTTCCAACCAATTTGTTTTAATTTGGACGTGGCAGCTACAGCTTCTGTTGCCCTTCTAATATTGCTAATTGAAGAGCATTGCATACCATCCAGACCAATCGGAACCCTTTCAAACACCTGTGGCTTGGCGAAAAAGCAGCCTACTAGGTGGGTAAGCCCTTGTCCTTTCTCTTTTTGTAGCTGAGCCGTGCTACTGTTCATGACCCTGAGACTGGGAAACTGACCACAGCACATTACAGAGTCTCTAAGAGGTAAGGGGAACGTCTTCCAAAGGTATACCCAGTCCGAGGAAGTCTGTTCTGGGACTGTACTGCCTCATCTCTAAATGTGGGGCAAATAAGGATTTTGCATAACTTTTATATTTTTAGTCTCTCTTTAGAAGAAAGAGGATGGTCTAAAGCAAACCTAGCTGTCATATAACAAAGCAAGCGGTCTGCCAAAATAGAAAATAGTTCTAAATGTTAGTGGTAGCCACGATGGAAGTGCCCTCTTTTGCTTAGCATGGCTTGTCTAGTGCAACTAATGTACTAAACTGTTAGCACCGCGCGGGGTTCTGCTTACACTAACAAACGGTGGAAGAGGCTGCCTCTACCACTAAGCTTCGGTATTGATACTTGCTTAAAACTAGGCACTGATGGGCTGCTGTAATTCATGGGAATAATGCAAATTAAAACTAGTTGATAATTTTAAAGAATTTCCTTGTTTAAATGATTGAAAGTAGTTGCTGCTTTAGTAGAAAACGACTGTTCTTTCAGCTTCTTTGAACAAAAAACCTGAAATTAGAATGGCTAGTAGCTTAAGGGTTTTTATTTAGCTATGAATTTCTTTAAAAAGATGCTTCAGAATACTGGATCACAAGAAGTTGATTGATTCAGGAATGATTATAACTCTCATGAAAACTAGAAAACCATTGTAGCTGAAGTTTGATCCATAAAACCACGCTTGTTACAAGTAGTGGCAGGTTGAAAACTTTTCTTTTCATACACTGAAAACTGCCTTGCACCTTCAGTAGCATTGCAGGTCTACTCAGTCATCAGAGCACACGCAGGTAGTGGGAGGCCTTTGTAAATTGTCTGGTGAGCTCTTACATGTTTGCTCCTTAAAACTACCTCCACAGGCCCCCTCCAGAATGACTTTAGGAACATATGTCTTCCTGTTTGACATGTTGCGTTTAATTTTTATTTTTTGTTTTTAATTTTAAAGTCTGTCTGTGTCCTATCTTGGTTATCTGTGACTGTGTATTTTAAAGAAAGAATTTAATTCAGTCTTAGGATTTGTCCTCTGACACAGACCACTCTGGGGCATTTACTGAAGAAACTTGTTAATCTATTTGAACATACCCTCACAGCTTCTGTCAAACTTGATGTGCTAATAATAGGAATTAGAGAAGGTGACCAGATCTCCAATTGAAATTGAGATGCGTAATTGGCCCCTATTTAAATAGATGCTCCTTAGTAAAAGAACTTTAAATTAAAAGTTTTGATTTTTCATTAGTGGGAAGTGTTATGCCTTGAGACTATTGCAGATGCCACAGTCAGAAAAAATAGTCAGACAATACCCATCATTAAAAGCAGATTCCCTCGTGAATGTGTGCAGCTGATGGTGCAGCCAGATCTTGTTTGCCATCACCTTGTTATTGGCTTTGTGACATGACAAAATAACTATTTCTCCTAGGACTTTAACCTGGAATTAACAGTGTGCTGTACCTTGCCTTGGGACTCTGTGATAAAGTATAAGGGCAGCTGTTGTCTGTGAAGTGCTGCTGCCTCCTTGGCGTGGTGTGCTGCAAGCCCAGAATAGAGCCTCGTGTCTGGTACCTGGTGAATGAGACACTTAAACGTTCAAGGTTTGGTGCTCAAAAAGGTGGCATTCTGGGACTTCCTTCCAACATACCTAAGGAACTCACAGAATTACATCAGATTTTACTGAGCTAAGATTTGTAGTTCCGTATCTCACTGGAAACTGGAATTAGAATTGCAAAGAAACATACAAGTAAGCGGGGCATGGCACATTGTGAAGTTAGTGCAGACAATTTTTTGAGGGTGGAGGACTTCCCTTCTTATGCTTCCCCTTGCCTTTGCATTCCTCCATGTGCAGATTGTTCAGGATGTATATACTTTAAAAGAGAACTTGGCAACTAAATCTATAGTAGGAGGTAAAAGCCAGCACCAAAAACCCCAAGCCAGACTGCTTTAGAAGGATCATGTTATTAATGCTGGATCACTGAACTTCTCTTGCAGAACCACTGGTAGAAACATCTTTCTGTTAGAGCTGTTTGAGCTGGTTTGGATTCCAAATGAATCATTGCTCCTGAAAACCAAAAAATGCTTGCTTTATTTTTTTTAATAGATGACTGCTTCAAACATTCTTTCCTAGCAAATGCACTTCTAAATTGCAGCATTCCTCTCTTTGAGAGGACTACTGTTCGCTGTGCAGTACGTGGCAGGCTGTATAAAAGGGGGCTCCTTGCCAGCAGTACGAGGAGCACCATCAAGCCGTGCTGTGTGCAGTACCAGAATAAACTCAGCCACTGCTTTTAAAGAAAAGCATTGCTTCCCCTCCCCCCCCCCCCACTCCTCTCGCAGCCAGTCGGAGCTTGTAGCATATGATGTTTAAGTTTCCACTTCAGAAATACCAGTCTGTGCTTTTATTCACTCCCTGTTGCATCTCTACTAGTACTTTTTACATACTAAGTACATTTCAGAAAGTTTTTAAACATAAATGCCAGTATTTTGTGTGACCAATGACTGTTAAAAAAAGCAGCGTTGAAATACTCTGCAGTGCTGGTGTAGCTGAGACTAAGGACATAGCCTTAAGTTTCCACTTCAGAAATACCAGTCTGTGCTTTTATTCACTCCCTGTTGCATCTCTACTAGTACTTTTTACATACTAAGTACATTTCAGAAAGTTTTTAAACATAAATGCCAGTATTTTGTGTGACCAATGACTGTTAAAAAAAGCAGCGTTGAAATACTCTGCAGTGCTGGTGTAGCTGAGACTAAGGACATAGCCTTTGTAATGTCTGGTACTAGACCGACTAGTGCAGTTGGAGGAGATGAGCTTTTGGGCGTATAAGCCCTTGTATGCCATGTAGCTCTGGACAGTTGTCTGCTTTTTTTCCCTAATATACTGCTTAGTCTAAAATTATTTCTGCATGTAAGTACTGTGCTATTAAAAATCTCTAATAAGATACCTGATACAGAGTTGTAAGAGGGAGGAGTAAAAGTAATTACTGCTAGCTGTTTGTAATGAGTATAAAAGTTGTTAAAAGCCAGATCTCGGTGTAAGGAAGAAAAGCAATCCTGTGGCATAAATTCATCACGCTAATGAAATTCTTTCAACTTCTATAACATAGTAGCTTAATTCGTGGGTGTCTTTTTACAAAGCCAAGTGGGGCACCAAAATACTATGCATTTGTAGTCAGGGAATTTTGGGTTTTGGTGTGGTAGTCACCCATGTCTTAAACTGCCATGCTTGTGACTTCCTAGAAGTAAGCTTGTCCCTTTTTGTTACGAAGTTTTCTGCCCATAGGGGACTCATAGGTGTCAGCTGGTCAAAAATAGACAGAATGCTGTTCATGCAAGTTAACTTGTCAGATGAGCAACTTAATTTAACAAATGTACATTGAAGAATAGAGCTGTGTGCGTTTACTGAATCATGCTGAACCTTGGACTATGCATATATTAAAAGAAAAATGTTTGCTGAGCACAATTTAAGGGTGTTAATTCTGCATCACATACACACACCACTGGTGAGGGAGTCTTTTTTTCTTTTTTTTCTTTTTTTTTTTAATAGACAAGACCAGGAAAAAAAGAAAAAAAGATTCCTTTGAGTGAAGGAATACCTGTTATAAATGGTCTCGAACTAGGCACACACTTACTTTGATGTCAGCAAAGGACCAAAGCTGAGACTAGCAACAGGAGGACAATGTAGGACAGATTGTTATATACTGAGAAGGCCACTAGGCAAAGCCTGCAGTAACAGAAGGCCCTTGTTGTGCATGCTAAACGCAGAGACCTCCTGATGCTGGACAATGGGTACAGGGTTCTGTGGGCCCTCCTGAGCTCTCTGCCCTCATGGAAGCAGATTTCATGATGCTTACAGGGTTAAATCATGCTGTAACTCTTCACATGAAACTACTCAGCACTACACGCTGCCCTCTAAGTTTTGCTCAGCAACCAGCGAACATGCTGGCACTTGAAATATGGTTCCAGTTCCCTGTTTCCTTCACCTTTCATAGACTTTCTTTGTATCCTTGGGCAATTAATTTTATTTCTAAAATACATACAGTACTTTCCCTTTATGAAAGGATGTAGTATTTTCCCTGTTGAAAGCATTCATTGCAATTCTAAATAATCAATATAGTAAGAATGCTTGCTTTTTTCTTTCTGTGTGTCTTTTTTTTTTCTTTCCTTAAAGCCTTTATGTGTGGACTGGACAGAGGTAGCTAAAGCCTACGCTTTGAGCTGATGGCTGTGTTGGGGCTTTTCTTGTGTATTAAGTGTGAGGTTAGGATTGCTTGTGAGTGTTACCTGTTCAACATTGCTGCGTAGCATGTGGCTGCATAGCTGCTTTTTTTTTTTTTTTTTGGAAATGCTTCATAGAAGTAGTCTTTGTGTTCTCCTACCACCTTAAATCAAAGAAGGTTGCATTGTAACGCTTCCTTATACTAACAGTGTTCAGAAGTGGATGAATCTTGGTATGTCTTTGTGCAAGTCTGTCTTGAGAAATCTTACTTAATCTATAGTTCATTCATCGTTTAAAAAAAAAAAATGCTCGTAGAGATTCTGTAACCTGTGTCAGTGCCTTGTGTCATGTGTCATGCTACTGTTCCTCCCATGCAAAGTGTTTTGGTTTTTTAAATACAGTTTTTTATTAAAGAAAACAATGTTAATTTAGTATAGATGTAAAAGTTCATTTGAGTAGAAATACTGTGATGTACTTGCCAGCTAGGCTCTGGGCATAGGTATTTCTGTCCAACAGCCTTGTAAAAGCAGCAGGAACCACTGATGAGCCCAAAAGGCTGAGTCAGATGCTAGAAAAAAGGTAGAACTAGCTGTCTCCATTTTCCTGCAAAAAGGGGAAAACATGGGACCCAAATCTTCAACATTATCATCCGTATTAGTGACTAGTGGGACTGCCAAGGTAAATAGAGAAGAGGGCCAGGGAGGCTAGTGAGCATGCCAAGAGAGGGAAAAGAGGAGCAGGTAAAATGAAGGTACATTGGCTAGAACGGGATGAGTAAAGCAGCAAGAAAAACAAGCATCATGTGAGCAGATGAGTGGTTTTAAAAAAAAAGAAAGACAGCGGGTAGATGAAATTGATATTTTTTCAAAAAGAACAAAATGTTTATCTTGTAAAGAGATGAAAAAATGCATGTGTGTTTGTTTCCATGTAAGCAACTGGATGTGTCCACGGCTGGTAAGGGTCCAGCAGGGATGTGCAGAGCTGTGGTTATACTAAGCTTGTGCCCTTTGCTGCCAAACACCGCTATTCTGGGTATGTGGCTGCTTCTGGATGACATAACTGCTTCCCAGTCATGCAGCTTTCAAGAATGAGCAACCACTTAGAGTAGAAAATGCTACACTGGATCTGGGTGAAGGCAGTGATTCTTGTGTAGAACTGCTTCTCTACCTGTTCATACCTTTTTCTGCTGACTAGTTTGCCAATTATTTTAAATGCAGTATTTCTAGCTGAAAAGCTCTAATTTACAGTAGGAGGCAGACATTTTGAAGATGCCTTTGGAACTGTGAGGCTGACCTTTCATGTGTATATTTAAAAAAAAAAAAAAAGGTTGGGTTGGGTTCCCCCCACCTTAAAAAAAAAAAATCATTGTGTACCTGAAACATGTGCTAAATACCAAATTCGTAATAGGCTGTTTTGGTAGAAACTGTTGAACAGGGAAGATGGTAGAGTTTTATGCATTATTTAATTGTTTCATAGTGATTTTTAGTACCATTGCACAGGTAAGTAATGTGAAAGGACAGATCACAAAGCGCTTGCCTGTAAGTGCATGACATGTGGAAGAGCTGAGTTACAATTACATAGACTCTGCGTATGCTAAATAAAGGAACTCAGCTATTTGTTTCCCAAGCGTTGCTTCAAAATACATCAAATGTGGGGTGTAAATTAGCTGTTTGGAATGGGTAAGAGCAAAAGTGTTTTGTGCCTGTTTTAGAAAACAGCTTGAAGCAGATTTCACTGTTTGGAACGTTTTCTTCAGTCATTTGGTAGTCCAGTATGGGAATTAAGGCCCTTAGTTTTAGAACTTCCTTAAACCAGAGCTGTAAGTGTTCTTTCTAGAAAACATGTTTATTAAATGCAGGCCTTCATAATGCCCTGGAAATATTTCTGATTATCCTACCAAATTATTGAAAAGTATGAAAAAATTCAAAGTAATTCCAAATGTTGCATTTGTACTGCTAGCTTACTGCCTATTACTACCATATTTTATTAATTCTTATTCCCCCCCCCTTAGTGCTTGGTTGTCCGGATATGAAAGCCCTGTGGTATCTCGCATTAACACAAGGATACAGGACCTAACAGGACTTGATGTCTCCACAGCAGAGGAACTGCAGGTAAACTGGTAGGACCAAGTATGATCGTGAATGCAGCACCGCGCTCACTCAGGTAGTGTTGGTGAGGTGGCCACAAAAGCTTGTTCAGCCCAGGGGCAGCTAATTTCATGGCTGGTTTGATTCCAGGCCATGGGAAGAACGAGTGGGTTTTTTACAGGGAGAAAGAAATGAAGTTACCTTTGCAGAGTAGTGCTTACTTTAATGTGAAATGGCTTTCTGTTGCTGGAGGGAAACAGTAATAACTGAAACTCCTGATGATTGTTGAAGTGGATGTGTAGTTCCTTTTTATTTATACTAATAAAACTGAGTTTCATCGTTGCAGGGTCAAACTTGGCTGCTGGGGTGATAGTGAAAAGTTTAGCTTGACTGATACTTAAGGAAAGGGGGAGAGAATGGTTGTTTAGATTTGCCATCCCATCCTTGGTCCTAGAAGGCCAACAGTGTGTCTGGTGTCTCTGTAATGTGGGAAAGACTCACTGTACATGTAACTTGAGTAAATTTTATTTTAGAAGCACTTTTATTCATTTGCTTGAGGCTTTTAAACGAACAGCTCCTTCAGTGATTCTGAGAAAGCGTTAATACCTAGAAAGCAGGACACCTAGAAAGTGGTTCCTGAAAGCTGTAGTGCCACTGTGCTACTCCATCAAGACTTCTGATGCTAAAATGCCCAAGCATCTGGTTGAAAATTGAACTTATGAACACACAGAAGAGATGAAGGGAAAAAAAATCAATTGGCAAAAAGGACAGTGGATCCTCTATTGACATAGAGATCAAAAAGTGATTTAAACTTGAATGATGTAAAAGTGCCATGACCTGTTTTGAAGAGAATATAGCTTGTAAAGTTTCTATGGAAGAAAAATATTTTTCTACCCTGGGGAAGTACCAGATTCCTTACCCAGAGTACACTGCATCTTGTGGTGCTAGTCTTGGATGTGCTGCTGCTCTTATAGCCAAACATCTTGGGGCTCCTTGGAGCCCATGGCTGTCCAGGTCTTCAGGAGTTTCAAAACTTTCCTGGTCAGGTTCTATCACCTGAGAGTCAGGAGATCAGACAGTAGCAGGGACTCAGAAATGGGAGAATGTCTTTATCATCCAGCTGGGGGTGGACAGAAGAGCTTTCAAGGAAAGCTGACCCCTGGGGAAGAAAAGGTTCAGCTGTGGCTTTGCTGGGAGCTGGTGTCCAGTCAAGAACTGCAAAGGCAGACTGAAGGGCTGAGACCCTAAAGCTCAGAGACAGGTTCTGGCTCTACAGTGATGAGGAGTCTGGGTGAAGTCAGTGTTACCTGTGAATAAACCCAGTAGGACTTTGCTGCATACTGTACAGTTTAGCTGGCAGAGACTTGTAATTTCCTATGGCTTGATTTTTAAACTTCATCTATCAACAGGTTGTAGATGATGGTCAAATTCTTGTCTGGATAAAATACTGCTTTACTAGATTTTGTGCTTCTCCTTTCACTGTAGGTAGCCAACTACGGAGTAGGAGGCCAGTATGAGCCTCATTTTGATTTTGGAAGGGTAAGTCCTGTTTTCTGTCTCCACCTCTTTCTTCTTCACAAGCACTGTGTTTCTCTTTTTCAGGTGGCAAATTATGGAGTGGGAGGACAGTATGAACCCCACTTTGACTTTGCACGGGCAAGTAAAGAGATGGAGGAGAGATAGTCACCTGGTGAAGCCTGGGCCTCTTGGCTGTGGCACAATTTTTATTCTTTAATGTGTATTAAATTTTGTAGCTCTTCAACTTTTCTAATCCATGTTAGTGGAGAAAGCCCTCTAAACCACCAGCTGAACTGATAAACATTTTAGGCATTATAGAGCAACAAGGCTTTTCTTCAAAAACGTAATTAAAAAAAGAATTATTCTAAGGAGATGACTGATAGTTCTTAACAGAGCAAAGGGCATTAGCTTTATTCTAAAGGTGGAGAAAAGTTTAGAAATATTGTAGGTGGCCAGGGTACTGGCCGTGTAAAGCCATTTTGTTTAAAATCACTGAAGGATATTACAGCTAAACTGTATGAAAACTTGATGTATATTCTGTGCTCCTGACGTGTGGCAGATGATGGTGGCATCAGCTAACATGCATCCATGCACTGAAGCTACCATAGCTGTGCTGCAGTGCAGAGCATTGCTGAATAAGGCAAACGTGGCTGCATGGGTGAGAGCTTAATGCTCTCTTCTATGAGAAGGGCTTTGTAGGCAGCATAGGAAAACTTGCATTGCAGCTTACCGTGTAGGCCTGTGATGCGGAGAGAGAACTTCTTGCCCCAGAGCTGAGGTGCAGGCATCTTGCATGCTGTTGAAGAAATCTTGAAAATATAAGTGCTCTGTTACTGTAGACCATGTGCTGATTGCTAGTGCAGTCCTGAAAGTGGAAAAAGCCTACTGTGTCTTCTCATCTCACCATTCTTATTTTTTTTATTTGATTTAAATTCCCATCCTATTTCTATTCCAGCTTAAATTGCAGACTGCTGGAAATAAGTTTAAAATCTGAAGGATATTACAGCTAAACTGTATGAAAACTTGATGTATATTCTGTGCTCCTGACGTGTGGCAGATGATGGTGGCATCAGCTAACATGCATCCATGCACTGAAGCTACCATAGCTGTGCTGCAGTGCAGAGCATTGCTGAATAAGGCAAACGTGGCTGCATGGGTGAGAGCTTAATGCTCTCTTCTATGAGAAGGGCTTTGTAGGCAGCATAGGAAAACTTGCATTGCAGCTTACCGTGTAGGCCTGTGATGCGGAGAGAGAACTTCTTGCCCCAGAGCTGAGGTGCAGGCATCTTGCATGCTGTTGAAGAAATCTTGAAAATATAAGTGCTCTGTTACTGTAGACCATGTGCTGATTGCTAGTGCAGTCCTGAAAGTGGAAAAAGCCTACTGTGTCTTCTCATCTCACCATTCTTATTTTTTTTATTTGATTTAAATTCCCATCCTATTTCTATTCCAGCTTAAATTGCAGACTGCTGGAAATAATGTCACTGAATTCAGTTGGTTATTTATTGGGCATACTTATGTGTGATTTAACACCTTCAGATTAACCTTACGCTGTGAATCCAAGCCACCAACTATTAATCAGAATCTCTGCTCTGTAAGCACATGCTCAAAAGCATTGCAAATGATTAACAGTTTTTGTTTGGAACTGCATGGGTTAATTTCTGGAGTAATGATTGCCAAAATTTTAGCGTGCACAAATAAATAGTGGTCACAGGGGGTGGGCTGTGAGGTGTGACAAAAGTTAGTCTCATAACCCATCAAAATGGGTTTTTCTTCTTGTAAGTTAAGTGATAAAAACCTCTTAGCTACCCAGATGGATCTCTTGGCTGGTTTGTTAGCCTGTTACAAGCTCCCACACTCGTCTTCCTCCCTCCTTCCCAGCTGTAATGAAAGAGCAATGTAAGGTGCACATGTGCTGAAGCGTGGCCAGGAGGAGGCCTCCTCCTTTGAACACAGCGCTGGGCTGGTGGTGTCGCAGCCACACCAGGCACGCACATTCGCATGCAATTAGGCAGGGACATACCTTACTCCTGTCAAAAGCTTCAGGAACGGCTGCCACAGATGCCCTGCAGCTGGGAGCGCACACTGCTCAATGAATCACTGGTTGGATTTTTAATGGCACTCTAAAATGCGTGTGTGCCAGGGAGGAACGCAGAATGCGGAAGGCCAGCTAGCTCAAGCAGCAGCCTGCCTGGCATGGCCAGAGCAGGAAAGGGGGTGAGGGCCACAAAGGCAGAACCACCCCCAAGGGAGCAGGGCCAGCAGCTGCCCTCAGGGCATGCTCAGAGCCAGCCCTGCAGCAGAGCATGGCTGTAGCGTGATTCTCAGTGAACCTGGGACTGAAGAGCTGCCCTAGCTGTTGCTCATCTTGGCCAAGGACAAGAGGGGATAAGTGAGTGTAATTAAATAATTAAGTTTGTGGCTGTGAAGAGGATTTATATACTCATTTTCGGACAGTACAGTTGTCTTACCCATTAGCAATTTGGGCTTATGCCCTCCCTGTCCTACAGAATTCTAAAATGCCTGGCTTATTTAAATTAATAGATAAACTCATATTGCATTCTCCCCTCCTTCCAAATAGAGGGATTGAATTAATTTTTCTGCATGAGTTCGTCTGCTGCTGGCTCTGCAGCTGTATTCCATTGGCTCTTGTCAATAATGGAAATGCTTATTAAATCTGCTTGCTTTTATTCACAGAAAGATGAGCCAGATGCTTTTAAGGAATTGGGAACAGGCAACAGAATTGCTACTTGGTTGTTTTATGTAAGTGATGTATTTCTGCCATGTGCTAGTGCCAAAAATAGCTATCGCTGCATATTCTATACCGTTGAATGATTTCATTACTTTTTTTGCTGAAGTGACTTGCAAATGAAGGCAGCCACTAACTTAGCGGTAATATATACAGGGTATCTTCTTACCCATAAGTAATGGTTCTTCCATGTGTTCTTAAGGAGGTTTTTTTTCCTCAAAGTTGAGCATCAGCTTAAATTATTTGACTGCCTATTCATTTTTATATCTGCATTGGTATTTATAGCATGCTCTTTGCCAAAACCTTTGTGTGTGTAACATTCAGGGATAAGGCTGGCTGTTGCACTTTGAACAAAGTGGGTGGGTTTCAGCCTTTTTTAAGGCTGTTAATCATGCAGCCTTTGCTCACTAATTGGGAGGTAGAATTTAAGTTGTTGAATAACCTAATTCTGTTTTACTAAAACGTGACACTTGAGAATGTATCAGCTGGCAACTTACCTGTGCCTTTCCCCACCTTTTCAGATGAGCGATGTGTCAGCAGGGGGAGCTACTGTCTTTCCTGAAGTAGGAGCTAGTGTTTGGCCTAAAAAGGTAATCAGGGTTTTTTATCCAGTGTAACCACTCCTCTCTCTACCTACTCAAAAATGTAACAGGTATATAAATGGTTAAAAAGAAGCTTTAAAATGAGTTTATATAAAGAAGATTAGAGCACTGTTCATGGGAGCACAGAGAAGTGAAGTGACTGGAGTAGTACTAGTGATTCCAAGGGCCTCTGATGTTCTGCGTGTTAATGCATAGTTACGTTTTGGACATAACTCCTTCTAATGCATAGACTTTGCAAAACATTACAATACCTCAAAACACATTCTGAAATACTCAAATCTGTAAGTAGGTTTAGTCTTGAGGCGTCTGTGGAGAATTCTCCCTGAAATGGTGTGTTCCTGTTATGTTTTTTCCCTCAGAAGGGTCACAAATGTGGTCTTCCTTTGCCAGCCTGCTGCTCATTTTCAGTAAATTATCTTGCTTTCTAAAACTGGTCAGAATCGAATGCAACTGGCTTAGGGTTTAAAAAAAATTAGCAGCCCAGTATATATAGACACAGAATGAGTCAAAGGAGACTCATTCCTTAGGAAAGCAAATGTTAGAATATGGAAAAGAGCCTTCAATTGAAAAGGAACATCTGAAACACAAATAACATACCTTTGCCTTATTGTTCAGTAAGTTGGTGTGAAAGTGTGTATCGCACAGAGTGAGATGCTGAGGGTTTCCACTGCAATTTCCAGGGAACAGCTGTATTCTGGTACAATCTCTTTCCAAGCGGAGAAGGAGATTACAGCACGCGACATGCGGCCTGCCCAGTACTAGTTGGAAACAAATGGGGTAAGTACCCCTCATGTTGTTCTCACTGCCTGTGACCTGGAGGTCTGGGGCTTTGTTGGTGGGTTGTCTTGGTTTTCTTTTTCCTCTGGTGGAATAAAAAGCAGCAGCTAGAAATTAGGTCCTTTATAAAGAAACCTACTTTATAGCTATATCTACTTCATATCTCTCTATATATATTGTGTTATATATCTTATATATAGTAGCATATTTTATTGTGTACATATATATAAAATACATGTAATACTATATCTGCTTGAATAGTCTTTTGTAGTTTTGCAGCTACTGGAAGGTTTTTTCCCCTCTTGGATTTATTAGACCAACTTCACCTTTGTGTGTGTGTGTATTAAAATACTTCAGAAAGTTAAGATAATCCTGTGCTTAACTGAAAGCTGGCCAATAGCATATATTTAGCTTAAATAGAAGCATGAGCTAACCAGGTGCAGTGATCAAATACCTTTATGTCTTTGCAGTATCCAATAAATGGCTCCATGAGCGAGGACAGGAATTCCGAAGGCCGTGCACTTTATCAGAGTTGGAATGATGCAGACTCGTCCATTGCCTCCTCTGTACTCAGTTTGTGTAAAGTGTACACATCTCCTACAGTTTACAATTGACTAACACTCCACTACAGGTTCAGTCTTCAGCTACACCGGTGTTTCATCTGTGGACAAAACAAACATGCTTTTAGTTCCCCTAAAATAGCCCCTTAAGGTTTTATGAACAGACTATATTAAGGTCTATGAGTGTTACAGAAAAAAAAAAAGGACAAAATACAGATCAGGGCCACAACTTACAGTGGTGTTGTGTGTGGTGTTCCCTTCACCATCGCTCCTCTGATCAGCATGGAAGGCCAGTGATTGTTCGCTTAGAGTCCTCCTCGCAACTGTCAGTCTGCTAAGGGCGGGATGATTTAATGGGAGGGCTCCCTTCTAAGGAAGGCTGAATTAAACCCGTTCGTATTCCTCAATTTCCAGACATTCGACTCCTTGCTTTTCTAGAGTGCCTGACCACTACTGTTGAGAACTGTGGGCATGGTTTGTGTTTCTCTGGGGAACAGGTTATTACCATGTTTTAGCCTGTTTTTTCACTTCCACAAAAGCCCCAATTTTTAAACTGTCTACCTTCTCAGTCCCTCTGGGGAATTTGGCTCTTAACCTTGAAAATGTGAGCCAGCAGTTACATACGCATAGATGAGATGCTTCAGCAGTGTTGTGTCAAACACATGCCTGCATCAGAGCAGCCTGACAATTACAGCCCATCCTTCCCTCAATTTTTTTCTTTAATGTTTGTCCACATAAACAAATGCTGCTTTTATCCTGTCTTAGTAGTCAACCCTTACATCTGTTCCTTAGGCAGTGGGGACTGGAATGTTACCGTCTTCGTTAATCAAAATAATTGTGCCTTAGGACACTGGAATTTCAAATTGGTTATGAGACTTCAGGTGGTGAGGTAATACATAGTCCTCACAGAATGCTCTCCACCCTCATCCTCCCAGTTCTCAAGGTTTTATGAGAAATAGATGGCCTATTTATAACCCTAAATCTTTTTTAGATGCTTTTTATTTTGCAAATGTTTTTTCTGCTGCGGATGTTGAATGCAGGCAGCAGCAGTGACATGCCTTTAGTCACGGGGCGACTGTTTGCACAGGATGCCAGAGAAGGTGCCTGCTCTGGCTGGTTTGGCATTGCTCACCTTGCGGAGGCTGCCTTCACTGCAGCAACGCACCTCGCGCTGCCTCCCCTCACTGTAGCTGTCGCTGGCACTCGTGAGCAAGGAAGCGCTGGGAAGGGGCCTCCTCCAGAGGCTCTGGTGCTGCTCACTTCACTGCTGCTCTTCCCACGAGCCAGGGCTGGAGCTGTTCTGATTCATGCCGCCCACACAGAAAAAGTGTCCCCAAAGTCAGCGGTGCCCGCACTGGAAGAACTTGCTTGCAGTGACTTTCAGGGGCCTTAGTTTGTGACGAGTCATCCTTAAACTGAGATGAAGTTGAAACCTCTGAGGGAGATGAGACTGTGGCTGCTGTAGCTGTTGAACTTTTGTTCTGCTCATCAGATTCCTGCGGGAGGAATAACTGCTGTCCCCTGGCACAGGAAGAGCTAAGCAGGGTGGGGAGAGGCTGCAGGGAGGTTCGCTTTCCTAAGCCGTTTCTCTTCAACAGCAGGATTTTTAGCAAAATGTCTAAATATTCCACTAGCATGAGGACAAGAAATCAAAGTGAGCTGCACCAGACTCTACCTAAACAGTCTGATTTTCTGGATGATGATGGTTTTACTGATTTAGGGGTCAAGCCTGAAGTCTTTACCAAGGAAAAAATTCCAATTTCAGTTAATTGGATTTTCTGCCTCAATAAAATCTTGAAAATTGAGCCAAAACGTAGATGAAACCAACTGTTAATATGTTAGAAATACCTCTGGAATACTGAGAATGCAGTTTAAGGTACTATAGTTTGAGAAACTGCATACTTCAGAAGACACTTTAAAGTCTTTGCTGGAAAATGCATTGTTCAATTTCTACTGAGCCTGTTAGCAATGGGACCTATGTAACTGTTTATCCTTAGCCCTGCACCTTCTTGCATTTTGCCTGTGCTTTTGGCAGATGTGAAACAAAGTCCATCCAGCACTTAAGAAAACAAGTAAAAAGGCAAATCAGAAATAGTCCCACCTCCCGTCTGTACTGCTCGCTCACTTATTCAAAATAGCTGGTACACTTGGGCAGTATCTGATATAAATAGATTCACCAAGGAAATGGGTTATTGGAGCATATTTTTGATCGCTAAATTGTAATCATTAAACCCCCCCCCGTAACATTCCTACTTACTGAGTTTTCCCCCTTTCACACAGTGTCATTCATCTCCATTCCTATCCATGGTTTTCTCTTTCCCATCTTCTTTACTTTCTTAAGCTCCAAAAAAGGTAACCATGGCTGCAGGTAAGTCAAGTCAAGTCCTGCCACTTTCTTGCAAGTAGAAGAATACAATGAACAATGTGGTGTTAGGAGCCTTGCCTTTGGGGCACTAATTTTCCCTTGGAAGCTCCAAGGCATCTATAAATGCTTTTAGAAAAGCCAATCCTGCATAGTTAACAAGCACAAAAAGAAATCACTGTATTGCCACTGTGAACACGTTTAGAAAACGGCATCTGGTTTTGCTGTTACAGAAAAGCTGTTTTTTTTTCCTAAAGTGAGCAGGGGAGTTACTCGACACATTAAAATAAATAAAAGCTAAAAATTGTAGAATTTATGTAAGGTAAAAGAGAAATACTGAATAAAAGAGTGTCAGTGACTGCTTGAGGTACTGCCGTAGTAGAAGAAAACACTATGTTGAATGAAGAAAGGAAGGGTTGAAGCAATTGGAAATCACGCTTTTGTTATATCAAGCCATGGGGTTGGGTGGTTTTTTTCCCATCTCTGTTCAACCAACACCAAAAGATGAATGACAAGCTTGAGAGAAGTTGTGGAATGTCTGGGGAAGTTTGCTATAAACAGTTACCTCCCTCACCTCAACTGCTGTCGCGTACTTCCAGTGGTAGACAGCATTTTAAGAACCGTCTCTAAGAGGCATTGCTTGGGGACTAAAAAGTGCATGACTTTTTAAAGCAGTGAACTACTCGGTGACTTGCAGTTCTTCAGGGAAGAAAAACAGTTTGTCTTCTGACAGTGGAAAATTTTACTTGGTTTAAAAAAAACCCAAACCATCAAAAACTAAAACTCAAGTCTGCTGAGGCACATCAGACCGAAATGTTCCAGATTACTAGAAGGGGTGAGCTTATTTTTTTAAGCTGCAGACAATCTACTTCCTCTTTCTCCACTACAGTAGTGTTCATGCCCCTAACACTAAATGTGTAAGGGATTACACAGGTGCTGCTGCTGCTTTCTGCCTTACCCCTTCCTTTCTCAAAGGGCTTTTGGGTCAAGAGCGTGGCTCCGGTGTGAATTTAGTTTTGTATTAAAGGTTATTGAAAACTGTTTGGCTCACAGTGACGGACAATTGAGAAACTGCCTTACTGTTACATTTTTTGTAATAAAATTTTAATGTAAAAAAAATGGGCTTAAAATAAAAGCCACTGCCATTAGCAGTGAAAAATCCTCCACATCAAACTCTGCTCATATATGGCTCTCGTAAATCTGATCACACAGATTTTTTATCACCATATGTGTTTCCTGGAAACCGAGCTCATTTGTTTCACTTCATAATCTAGGCAGGCAGGTGCAGAAGATGCTCATACAACAAATTACTATTAAACACATTCCCAGGCCCAAACTTTGTGTCTCGGTTGGAAACACACAGCACTAATGGACTGCAAAAGGGCAGGGCAGATGATGCTGGGCTGAAAGCATGTCGTGCACAAAGATTTACGAAAGGGAACTGAACTGCTCTTAGGGAAGAGTGCGGCTCAGCCCCTTTGTCTCCCTAATGCATTGATTTATGGCAGTAGCTGGTGTGGCATTTCATAGTGACATGGGAACCGCACGAGCTCCTGGCTTGAAACTCAAAACGGGCACAGCAAAGGGTCAGCTGCTAAGAGACCCTTTTCCAGGGATGACAAATACTTCCATTTCCTGAAGCCAAGAGGTCAAACAACCAGTTATTCTGAACAGTTCTGGGGAGGGGAAGAAAGGTCAGCCTATCCTGCAACACAGACACCAACAGCACGAGAGGGGGAGAGAGCACTACTTACTTGTAGGAGGGTCAGGTTGATGGCTGCTGTAATCAAGACTTCTGCAGTTTATACACTACAGCTGTTCCTGTGCTTCACCCTTTCAAAACAGTGGAGCTCGTACCTCATTTGTGGTCATCGGGAACCTGCAAAAAAGCATAGCGAGGGCTGGTTAGAAGCCTTGATCCTTTTGCCTGTGGAATAGTGCCTTGCACTGCTGACGGAGCACCTGGCTTGCAGTTAGGGAGCTGCCCTCCCTTCCCCATACAGCCCACAGACACAGCTAATGTGCTCACAGATTTGGCAGCCATGGGATAGGAAGTAAGTCTAAAGCGTACCAGCATGTTTTTATTTTGGAAACATGGATTCCATCCCCAGCATGTAGGTACGGAGTACCGTGCATGCTGCTAAACTGCTGCTGTGCCCCTCTCAGCCAGGTGGGCCAAAGCCAGGAGAAAGGGAGCAGCCAGATGGCTCTGTCCTTTCAGAGGACAGGGCTTACTCCAACACTCTCAGCTTTTTGGGCTGTTTGCGGGCTGCCTTCCAGCCACTTGGCCTGGGGACGCTGCTTCCTTGCCCCAGGCCGGTAATGGCTGAAGCGGGGCTGCCCCTTCGCAAGTAGCTGTGAGGCTCGTGCTGTCAGCCTGGCCACCAAGCTGCTATTACCAAGCCAGCAGTGCAGGGGCTTTGGGGCTCATGGCGGGGGAGATGCAGCTCACAGTCTTCCTTTCTGAGACAAGGGAGGGGCTGCCCTACCATCTGTGTGGGGCCTGAGGCACCTGCCCAGGATTTGGGTGGGGGTGCTAGGTGGCCTTTGCCCCCTCCGACGGAGGAAGGGAAGGGAAGGGTTGTGGTTCAGCCCTGTGTTGCCCCCTGACTAGTGCTTATGCACTGTGGCTTCCCACCATCCTGCCTGGGTATCCAGGGCTCTTCCAGCACAGCTGCACCTAGAGCACGACCATGGGGGATCATGACCATGGGAGGAACCCCACCTGGGTAAGAACTGCAGCAGTTGCAGCTAAACAAGGCAGGGTAGGGTCAGGGGTAGGGATAGGGAACAAGGCCTGCGAATGGCTGCAGGGCAGGACGAGATGAAGAGAAAGGAAAGGGTCTGACAGTATCGGCACCTGCGGATGGGGGGAGGCAGCACAAGGCTGAAGTGATCCATCCAGGGACTCCTGGAGAGACTGGACCAGACCATGAACTTGAGCGCAGCCCCCCTGAGGGAGAGGGTCTTCAACCGCCCATCCTCCTCCAGCTGCTGGACTCTGACCTGCCTCTGTGAGGGACTCGGGCATTTCATCATCAAGCTACATTTCTCGTTCCGCTAACCAGTGACTCATCTGGCTCCCAAACCAGGCTTTGAACCAGCCACAGATTACCCACTCACCTTAACCACAAGCTGCCTATTCCCCCTGCTTAGGCCGTGCTTAAACATCGACCAGCAACTCATTGAGCTGGCCAAAACTGATAGAAAAAGAGCTCAGCCCCTCAATCCTCTGTCCTCCCCCATGTCCCCAGCAGAACACAAAGGGAAGGATCCTGGCAAAGCGCATGACCACACGTCTCTGCCTATGACAGTGTGCTCCGAAAAAGAAATGCACAAAAGGAGCTGGACCAGCCCCTGCGCTTCCCTCCCAGGAGCCGAGCCCAGGATGCAAGGGTCAGCGTTTGCTTTGGCATGGCTGATAACGTGAAGCCAAGAGGGTTTCCAGCTTCATCCGCAACCGGAGTTCACTACCAGTAGCGTGGGGGGACGCAGGCACACGTGTCCAGCTGCATTGCTGCGGGACGGGTGTCTGCCCCGTGTAGTCAGCGCTACCTCCCGTTTGACAGGAGCACGCTGCGGACAGTCTGATACTGTCATTAGGAGTGAGTGACTCATCACAGCCCGAGGGCTGCTCTATATTTAAGCATTACAGAGTCAGAAATGAATGCATGGAGTCAGGAGCTGCTCCTGAGGTCAAGACGAGGTTCAGAAACCAGTTGTCAGAGTTCACCATCATGCCAAACAACATCTGTATCTCTCAAATCTTTAGAGAGAGAAAAATTGGCATAGGGAGGGGGGATTTGCAACCACAGTGGGTCAATGCAAGGTCAGACAACTGGCAGGTACCTGCTGTGTACACCCACTTCAGGAAGTCCTCACTTCTGCAGCTGTTGAGCCTGAGCAGCAATTCCCCAAGATAACTGTGTGTGTGGAGGTGTTGTATAGCATTTGTTAGTTTTACACAATCCTACATTCTTCCTGGTCTTCAGATCTTGAAGTTTGGGTGCAACCAAGCTATTTGCAGCTGGACTGAAAACGTCTCGGGAGACTGGTGTGGGGAGGGGTGGAAGGAAGGAGAGTGGCTCAACTCTGGGGCAGGGCAAAGGGGCTGCCATGTTTTGGGAAAGCAGTTAGACTGCTTTTTTATTCACAAATTTTTGCTTCAGGACAACAAGTGACAAACTAGCAGGAAAGTTTCCGACTCCTCTTTTCCCAGGCTCCGCACTTCGCCAGCTACTCCCCCCGGTCCTGTTCAGCTTTCCTAAGAAATGCCGATTCATTTTGCAAACAGCCTGGGCCCCACACTCTGGCCAGAGCCACCCCCTCCAGGCTGCATGTCCTGCGTGGCACGGCAAGGACAACTCATGCAACAGTCATGGTGTTTTGCATCCTCTGCAGTCCTGCCAGCATTTTTTCCCTCTCTGTTCGCTTTCAGCAGCGCATGGATCAGCCGCCAGGGACTAAGGGATAACAAAGAAAGCCATGTTCTGGAATTGCCTCCAGAGCAACCCTGAAAGGCTCCCCATAAAAGCAAGGCACCAAGCACAGCCACCCAGGGGCTCTACACAATGTTTCCAAGCTATTTCTGAAGAGCTGTTTTGCTCTTTTTTACATTAACTTCTGCCAGGCTGTTTCTAAGGGCGGGGAGCACTAGGACTGCAAACCAATGCTTCACGCAGGGCAGTGATTCAGCCAACAGAGACACGAACGGCTCCGCTCAGTGCAAGACACAGTGTGGGACTGCTGAACCCGGTTTTCCCTTCACTGGGGCTCCTTGACAACAAATTTCAGGGACAGTGGCCCATTTCCACCCATGACTGACAGACCAGTCCCCCAGCATGGTCTGAACAGCAGGACAGGCCCGAG